GGCATTGAAAGTAACGAAGATAACCAGTGAATTGACGCATTCTCCCGAGGGGGTAGTGGCATAGAGTCTGGCTCTATATCAAGGCATGGCAATGTTTGGTCTGAGGCCACTTGCTCGAAATCTGTTGAAGTGCTTTTAAAATTTGTTGGATAGGAGGACTATATTTCTAGACAAGCAGTTATTCAGGAATCAGATGTCTGTGATGAACTGGCCTACTTAGCCAAGCAAATGGATACCAATCCAAAACTTGATGATAAAAATGAATTTAAAGATGCTGTTACAGATTCATATCCACCTGGTGGTACCTATGCAAGTTTTTTTCTGGATTGAAAGAGGATGTAGGAATGGAGAAGTCTCAAGATGGAGTGTTCCAAGGTCATGAAGATAACTTATCCATTGATGGAAGTTCGAGTAATCCTGAACTAAGAGATATCTACATAAATATAGACTTGCCTGTGTCTAACAGGAGTCTGAATCTATATATTGATGACAAAAATAACAATACAAACCAAAGAGAAGTTAAGACTATTGTTGACGACTCACATCATGGCAAAACTCGAGATGATTCATCTGCAGTGCAAACCAATTGCTGAATCATCTATGCAAAAAAAGGGTGACGTGAAACAAGGTCCTTTACCAGCGCAAACTAATAATCAAGATTTGGAATCTTCTGTGATGAATAAAGAAGCTGCCATAGACACACAGACTCTGGATAGAGATGCAGTTGGAGGTGATGCACATCATCTAGATAAATCCCTTTGTTCAATCCCGAGAGCAAAAACTTTGGAAGATACGGGTGTAGTTGATGGTCTTGAGACCGGGTTAAGTAATTTAGAGGGTCCCTTGAGAATGGAATCAACAGATGTTTCTGACTTGCAAAAAGCTGAAATTTTTTTTAGTGAAGATAGTGGTTTAGGATTTGGGGGCAAAGTTGAACAAATTTAGAAAAAAAATATAAAAGATTTTTTTAAGATTTGAATTTTGAATTTTTTTTCTTATAAAATTTAGAGAGAGGAGTTCTAGAGTTAGAGAAAATTATTTTCTCTAATTCAATAGAAGTATCTAAACTTTTTTCTTAGTTGATTAGTAGCACTAGTTAGAGGATTTAAAACTTGTACCAGTGAGAATTCGGGGTTATAATGGTTGTAACATTGAGAAATTTATGGTTTATTTAGTTAATTTTATTAATTAAATAATTATATGATTTTGTTGTTTAATTATTGTAAAAACTCTAAGAACTTAAAGATTCTTATGAGTTAAATTATTTAGGAATTGTTTTGAGTCAAAGTCAAAATTGGTCAAATTTAGGAAAATGTATATAGAGTTTTTTTAAAAATGTAAATTTTATGAGTTTATTTTCTTAAGAAAGTTAAAGAAAGAAAAATTAATATTGTAATTGAACAATTTTAATCTACTAAGTATTACAATTGTGCGATTTTGATACCCAAGATTATAATTAAATAATTTTAGTTATTCAAATATCATAATTGTGTATTTTAGTCACTCTAATTAAAAATCTAACAAGTTTAAAAATTATTATATTTATTGATAAATTAATAATTTTATAAATATAAATTAGTATATATTAATATACTTTTATAAAAATATAAATATATCATATAAGATAAATATATTAGAAGTAAGTTAATTAGAAATATCAATATATTATATCACTTGTTAATTTTGCATCAATAAAATTTATTATATTTTTAATGAGGAAAACTAAAATTATTAAATTTTTAATATAAAAATTAAAATCATACAACTGTGAGATTAAAATTATTCGATTAAAAATTAGAGAAATAAAATTAAAAATTAAACAAATAAAAGGACACAAGTGCGCAAAAATGCCTTTTAAGACAAGTTAAATAGATTGAGAAAATAATTTATATCAGTATCTCTAATTTACAATGCACAATTATTAATATATTAAACAAAAATTGACAAAATAATTAATAACATTATTTTTTTTTGACAGAAATTAATAACATTATCTTTAATTTACAAATAATTATTTGTTTTATTGCCAACAGTTACAGTTTAAAAAAAATAATTTTAATTATTGTATAAGATAAAAATATAAACTGTATCAGGATTATAATATAAATTAAAGGAAGCATTTAATGAATTATAAAAAAAACATAATTCATACTTTTAATTTTAACAAAATGGGTACATACATATTTCTTAGTTATGTCACATACAATGAATTATTCATAAAAATATAAATTAATTAAAATTTTAGTTTTACATATTTAAGTTACATTTTTATACTTAAATGAATTCATAGGACGCATGTGTTCTATATTTAATTTAATTATTATAATAATAAATAAAATTTCCCCCCAATTTTAGACTAAAATGATGAGTGTGCGGAGCAACATAAAAATGACATAGAAGTACATTTCTTTTTATTCACCTTATTTGGTAACGGTGCTGAACTAAATAAATGAAGAAGATAAAATTAAAATCTCATACTCAAATATGTTTTTAATTATGTAAAATGAGTAAGTTCTTATTTTAATTTTTATAAAAAAAATTATTTTTCATCTTTATAAAATTTAGAATTATGATTTTTAGTACATATTATTATATAATATTTTTAACTATTTTTTTTTTTTATCAAAATATTAAGTGATCATTTCAAGTCTTGTTCATAATTGTTAATGATACATGTTAATATGTGATAGATCAAAATTTATTTATAAGTTTTTAAAATAAATGTTATTTATTTATTTTGATTAAATTACACTTTTAATATCTTTATTTTTATTTATATGTAGTTTTGATTCCTCTATTTTAAAATTGGAACATTTAGTTCCTAAAATTCTAAAAATACTAAATTATAGCCTTTTCGTTAAATTGACATTTGTTAATCATTAAATTTCAACATTTAATCACACTTAAATAATGTACTTCCTCCATTTTTTTTTATTTGTTGAATTTTTAATAAAATTTTATTTTTATTTACTTGTTAATTTCAAATTTCAAGACAATATTAATTGCTATATTATCAATTATATCCTTACATTTGACTTAACTTTTAATTAATTTACACACTACAACTAATATATGTTTATTATGAAATAAAAATGAGAAAAGATACAATAGGAAACACCAAAATTATTCTATGAAAAATAGAAAAATTATTACGCCTCTTAATTTGTATAAAACAATCTTAACCGACTATTATAAAGAAATAAAGTTAATAACATGTCATTTAGAAATTAAAAAAAATAAAAAAAACATACAAATATTAGTAAAATAAATATATCGTTAAAATAAATACAAGCAAAAAATATTTGTAAGTTATTTTTAAAAATTTATGCTTACATGTAAATATGTGATGTCATTAACCATCAAGTCACTTAAGAGGTGACATATCATTAAACAATGTTAAATGATCAATAAACATTAATTGAAGGTAAGACTAAAATCTTTTATTTTAAAAGATAAGAGGACTAGATGTATTTATTTTAAAAATAAGAGTCAAAATTACTGATCAACAAAAATAAAAGAATAAAAAATATAATTTAGCTGTTTATATTTAAATCATCACTAAGAACAAATAATAATAATTTTAAATTTTAAAAAATGAAAATAAAATAAAAACTTACAAGGATGAAAATAAAAGATTACTTATTTTATAAATATAAAAAATATTTTATAAGAATTAAAAATAATGTTTATAAATTTTATAAAAAAAAAATTACAAATACCAAAATCAAAATTAACCTATTTTAGATTGATTAAAAATATATTCAACTAAAAAAACTTAATTCATATATACTTTTAAGCATTGACGGATCCATTAAGAGGAGAGTGGGGGCACATGCCCCCACTACCATTTTACACACATACACACACACACGCACACACACACACACACACA